GTGATAGCCAACCACGGCAAGCTAAAAGGGAAAAAAAAGAAAGATGCTGTCAGAGAGGGAAAGGAGATAGGGAGAGAAAAAGAAAGGGAGGCACATTAATAATACATGGGATCACTTCGGATGAGACAGTGTGGAAAGCTGGACTGTGAATTTCCTGATATCCTGGCATGTCTTAATGCTAGTAGGCAGGTTAGACCAAAGGGAGTATGCTGAGAAGAAAGGGGATTTCAAAAACAGAGAGGAACTAGCTCGGGGCAGTGATAAGGCATTGCGTGTTGGTCTAGTGGTAACAAACCAGTTGTACTTGGCAATATGTTTCGGGACTTGGGCTAGGAAGATTTTTGCACAAGGATACAAAGATGCTGCTGATGTCGGGCATTGACACTGGATGTCGGGACGATGTTCGGTTTCCTGGAGAAGATGCCTTCGTGGTTCACACCTCAGTCACCTTTGCTCTCGAGTCTTCTTCATTACCATAGTTACGTCCCGTACCTTGGGTTTGTCAGTGAACTACATGTATGAAGAAAACATAATGACACTGATGAGAAAGGTAACAGTCATAATGGTGTTAATATGTGCGTTATTGAAGTAACACAGTGACGTTTCAGAAATGTGTTAGTGGCTGCGTTGGATGTTTGCGGACAATAAGAAAAAATATTCTTCAGTATTTTACAATGGCAATAAATCAGAATACTGTCTCCTCGACGATTGTTTAAAAATTATTATTCTTCAGTAGGACAAAGTGTGTGAAGTCCTTGCTGCAAATACAAGTAGTGCTCAATACCCCTATAAGGTAGGATGAGGTTTCAGAGCAGACCCCTCTTTCCCATCCACTCTGCAATATTGAACTCTTTTATCAGTCAGTTACTACAACGTTTCGGAACGTTTCCCCCCTTAGGTATGCAATGTAGCCCTTTCCCAAAGATGCTCGCCACTTTCTTTCCAACTTTTTGTTGTTTTGGAAGAAATCGCAACATTCGCAGAATATTTCATTTCACAAAATACTTCGCAACTTTGTGCAGAGAAGGGCCCTGGTAGAGACCAATGAAGTGTGTCCGTGATGCTCCGCTTCAACAAGAATCGCTAAGCATCAAATCATCATGACAAGTGTACTTCAGGAAGAACAGCACGATCGGGCCCCAAAGAACGCATGAGCTCAAGGCACAGCCTAGAATTTTTCAAAATGTTGAACGGCGTTAGTCGTTTTGTTCTTATTCCACGATCATGCACATACAATGCGATTACACGACTTGGAAAACATGCAGAAAATGGTACGTGCGTTCTTTCAAAAATCTGCAAATCTAGCCTGAATTTACCCATTTTCCAGCCTAAGTCATGTAAGTCTGATGGTTCTGTGGTATTCAGTTAAAAAAAGTGTTCTTTGCCGAAGTGACTTCTGCGCCTGATCTTACTGTACATACACAATCAGTCATGTACGTGTATGTGGCAGCCCTGAGCATGCCGCTATGTCCTGAATGCTGTGCGAAGGTTCAACAATAAGGACAATGACTCATTTCAAGTCTGTTCATTTCCCTATAACTCACGCAGTTGTGCTGTGCCGCAGTGTTGTCTCTTTACGCTCCATTTTTGGTTATTATTGGTGTCATCATGCACCAGAACTCGCTGATTTTGGGTTGCGATATTAGCAACCGTTTTGACTTTTTCTGAAACAAATGGATGCAATTTCAGCAAACTTGCATGCCCACCACAAGCACCAACACCCTAGCAACACGTCGAAACTTGGCGCTGGAACTGGAACCCTGATCACGTCGTCGCACTGAAAGAAGCCCAGGGCTCAATGCAGCTTTTGCCACCAGCTGAGGAATTTCCGCAGTTATCAATGTGAGACGTCTGGTCGCACTGGCGTTACTCGCTTATCAACACAGCACACTTGTACTGTACTGTACTTCGCACCACGACGTACACACCAGTCTCGCCCAGATCGGCGACCATGGATAGGCACAGGCGGATTATGCTGGCATAATTATTGGCATAACTTGGTGGTTGAAAATTTGAAGCACAATTTAACATCCTTTCGGAGGTAGGAGCATGACAACATGATTGTAGTTATAAACTACTAAATCTCCAGACACCTAGCTTTTTCCACCATCTTGTAATTATAATTACAAATGGAACATGCATACATGATGTTCTGGAATATGCAAGGCATAGTACCACTACCTTTCTGTCTCGTGCTTTATCAGTCTAGCCACAAATAACTTTAAAGGGGAAGTTAAAGGGGAAGTGCATCGATTTTTCAAGTAGGCCTCAGATGAAAGACAATTGGATATCGGTTCCGATGGTATATCTCTCGCTTGCGTACGGCAAGGGAAACTTGCCATATCGCCGATTTCCTGATCCCGTTTCCATGGCGACTACAGGTGGTGACGCACATTCTGCTTAGCTCCGTGAGAGAGAAGGTCGATCAGTGAAGAATTGTGTCATTTTCAGTTGTCTTCTTGTATTCACGAAGTGAAAGAAGTACTGTGTTCAAGGCTGTTAGTGCCGTGAACTGTTTATTAGTAGTCCTCTCCGTTGTGTACTGGGACGTGACACCGACAGGGGAAAGCTGGAGTGCGGAGAGGTTAGCTGGCAAGCGAAAATCGTGACGAACCAAGTGCTGAAATCTTGGTTGGGACAAATCAAACATTCAGCATTTACCTCAACCAAGGACCATGCCGTTTGCTCTTTCCACTTCCTGAAGATGGATGCGCTGCCTGCTGGAGACTCTCCTATCTCTCGTAACATCTTCTGGAGCCAGGTCTTTCTAGCTTCATGGCTCGTATAGTTGAAGAACAAGAGGACTCAATGTTGTTCGATTCGTTCCAACATGTCAGCTTTCATTGTAGTTTGATATGGGGCTGTGCTAAGCGCTATCACAGCTACATGTACATGTATCAAAACCAAGTAGCAACAGGAGAGTAATCATGGAGAAAAGCAGCTATTGATAATGTGTGCACCCAGGGTTTTCCGGCAAATTCACTAGTTCAGCTATTCCATCCTTATATTGTTCTGAACGCCGAGGGCTCTAGCGAGTTTATGCAACACCTAACAGCCAAAAATCCAATAAGCTATGACCAAAGCAGCAGCAGCAGAGCAGTACAAGCAATATACATGTACACTGTAGATACGTGAATTTACCAATGTTAGGCAAATTTTGACAGTTTTTTGGATTTTTCTCCAGAATATGCAAGGTGACCCCTATTTTCGCCGCGGTAAACCTGTTCCAACCCACTTATAGAACGTATTTGAAGTATCCATATATGGGGCAAACTCAAAAATAAACTGCAAAAAATATTCAAAGTTTCATTTTTGCGTCTTTTTGTTCTTCTCCAGGAAATGACGACGTGGATCCCATCGTCAACGAAAGTGTACATTTTTCGGTGTTGATATCATCTTAGTAAATACCTCGAACAGTCTGTGTAATTTTATGTCATATTTTCTGTCCTATCTGGTGTTATGGACGATTTCTCATCAATTTTCGGATTTTGCGATATTGTGTGGTATCAAGGAAAATTGTGTTTTTGGCAAGACCTATTCAGGCAATTGCAAACCTGATGTTACTAAGTGAAAATATAAGGCTGTACCTATTCAAACCTGATGTCAGATTGGGCTGATGTTGAAATTAAATTTTTGGGCCTAACTGTCCCCAAACCCCTTTTAAAAGGTGGCAGACTACCCAAAAATTCGCTGAAAAATCGAATTTGTAAATTCATATTGAGTGCTACGTCAGTTGAAAGAGCATGAATAGCTGCAAATTCTCTGAAAATTGTGTCCCGATCTGACCGGCCGTTCAAGAGTTATGGCCGAAAATGTGCCCTTGCAAGGAAAGATTTTTTTGTTGCACGCTGTCATTTGTTGGCAGCACTGTATTTGAATGTGAGCAGACCGTGCGCAACTTGTCGTATCATGGAAACACGTGAAAGTGTGCAGAATTTTGCTCCAAGTCCAAAAAATCAGGGTTTTGAGCCACGTATTGGGCTGCACTTTTGCAAGCACCCTCGTGACGTTGCAGATATGTGGCTTGATTATTGTAGTTGACGTTGATTTAGTGACTTTGGCAAGTTTGAGTCGTGTCAAGAAGTCAGGTAGGATTCAGTACTAGGCAGTAGTGAAACGTGAGTGGTAGTCTTTGCCGGTTTCTGAGGGTATCCTGGATTTGGTGTGCAGCGCTGTGGAAATGGCTTGCTGTGGAGGTCGCAGCACTGGATGTTGTATCAAAGGTACGACCTCGTAGCACGTGCTCAACCTAAAAAAATTCAAAAATTGACTTGGGTCTGTGGGTGTGTGTGAGAGAACGCCCACTCGTTCCGTTGTGACAGATTCCAGGGCCTCGTTGAGGGGCCCTACCCCATCACCCATGGCTGCTTCTGGACTTGTTCTAGGTTTGAGTCCCGCGCACGAACAGAATGAGCACGAAAATGTGAAAAAAATGTAAATGCATTTGTTTGGCTCCTGGGTGGCTCGCACACCGTGGCACTATGCCGGAAATTTGAGTTTTTCCGGCCTGGAAAGCCTGTCAGTGAGGCGCAAGAACTTGTAAATCATGTCCTGAGGGCCAGCATAGTAGCAGGAGTGTGTGCCATATGAAATTTATGGGTAGGCTGCCCCCTTAAAAAGAAGCGTCTCAAGCTACTTTCTTATGATTTTTGCTCACGAATACTTCGCTATCGAGTATTGTTTTCTATGATGTGCTTGCACATCTGTACTTCGAGTACTGGCTCACAAATTCCCATATGAATAAGAGGACAACTCCATCTCATTATTTTGAAAACAGATACGATAATTATGAGTGTTGAAGACTCAGCGCATAAGACAAGACTTTCTTCAGCAGTTGTAAAATCTGTTAGGCCAGCATTAGTATTGACACATTTCTGCGGGATGAGCAGATCAGCCGAAAAAGTGAACTAAAAAGAAACGGGTACTATGGTTACTAATTGGAGGGGAAATACCCGATCCTGACAGTGAGTGGGTAGAAACAAGACTGAAGGCAGTGCGGATTAGGATGTTGAGCTGCAATTCTACTGACGCTATAATACATGTGGCCAGCATCATGGGTAATGTTAGTGAAGACAACATGCGGAAAATGAAATTGACGAGACATTTGAAAAAGGAACTTCTACAAATGTGTCAGTCGTCTGATTGACTAGTTCCACAGCCTAATTAGCAACATCCCAGCTCCATCTCTAATGAAATAACCTTCAAAACATTCAGCGTTGGACAGCGTTGATACGATAATTCAATATCACAAAAGCTATGCACAGCGAGTATTAAACTTGCAGCTGTACACTTCATACCTCTTTTTTGAATTAGATATAATAAAAAAAATCGTCAACTCCGTAAAACTAAGGAGTTAGCTAGATCTTGATAATAATTGCCAAATTGTTTGGTTGAAAGTTATGACCTTATTGACAGTTTTAACACATCCATTTACGAAGCTGGCTGCAGTGCCATTTTGAAACGGCAGTTGTTCAGCTCATGAAAACAGTGTTTTCAAGCCGTGTAAGGTGTGTTTGCTTAGTAATGCCTTTTGGGAGGTGTCTTTGTGATGACAGAGAGTGAGCATCATACGAGGGCAGTACGGGGTGCAGCAATTGTCCTGCAAGAAATAGTGTTGGCTGAGCAGTTGTCGAATGCTGTGCACAATGCTGCTGCAGAGGTGCAGCTGCATCGACGATGGGAGAGAGTGCTGCTGATGCTGGGGCAAGGGTTCCTGTGCTCGTTCCTGTTGTGTTGTCGACTGTTGCTGTGCCTGATGGTTGTGTTTCTGAGACACAGGTGATGATTGGTGCTGCGGTGTGTGAGCCACCAGCGATAGCTGTTTCTGCTGTGTGTGTGTGGGCGTCGGCAGCTGATGGTGGTCGTGGCTGCAACTGCTGACATGCTGCCGGGTATTAGAAGTGAGTATGTTGCTGCTGAACAAGCTGTCTGTTTTGAGTCAGTTCTGGCACAGCTGCTGGCACAGCCGATGCTTCTGTTGCTGCTGCTGCTGCTGCTTCTGGCTGTGGTGGCGGCGGCGGCTGTGGGAATGTCTGTATGGAACATATAGACAAGGGATCATTTCTTGTTGCTCTACTGCCTTAGTTTGCCACTACTAGGTCACCCTTTCCGCCATTGTCCTGACATACTTCACTGAACACGGCATAGCTATCAGACGGCTGTCCAGGTGGTGTTGGCAGTGCACTGTTGACCAAATCACTACCAGCAGTAGCCTGGGCAGAGGGCAAATGATAAGGTAACTGAGGCAGAGATGACGTGGATGCTGAATTCACAGTCAGCATGCTTGAGGACGTTCCCAGTGGTAAGTGTTGCGGCTGTGCAGGCTGACACTGGTCCATGCAAGCCACAAGTGCAAAACCTTGTTGTTGATGTTGGTGTTGCTGCTGCTGCTACTGCTGCTGTTCTTCCTGTTCTTGTTGATGGTGGTGGTGCTGGTCTGCAAGTACCTCATCGGATGAAATCGAACTGCCGTGATAACTTTCTCCGTCCGCAGCAATAGAACCATCCGCAGACGTCAAGTCACTGTTCCCTGCGCTGGTGTCCGTGGTACTGTAGGAAAGAGCACGATTGCCATTGGCTGCATTTCGAGCATGATGCTGTTTGGAGTGCTTTCTAAGCGAGCTTGGGTGTGTATAGCTCCTCGTACATCCTGCTGCCCTGCATCGGTAGGGTTTATCATTCGTGTGCACGACCATGTGCTTATTTCGATCCGAAGAATTTGAAAATCTTTTCTTACAGTCCGGGAAGGTGCAGGGAAACGGCTTTTCCTTTGTGTGGACTCTGTAGTGTATCTTCAGGTTTGCGGAACTTGTGAATGCTTTGCGTGTGCAGTCTTGATGATTGCAGACAAAGGGTTTTTCACCTGTATGAACTCGTATATGCCTCACAAGCTTATATATTGTTTTGAATCCTTTGGGGAATGTACACTGGTCCCAGTGGCAGATGTGGACATTGCCATTCTCCTGTGTGGGATGTTCGGTACTGTCCTGTTGCTGGAGATGAACGTTTCTTATGTGCTGCGCTAGTTCGGTGACACTAAAGAACGCCAACCCACACAATTGTAGACCGTTGTTCACACGCCATTCGCACAGACTTCTGGGATGTCCGCCAAACATTGGAGGGGTGGAGGGGTTATCCAATTGGTACTTGACGCCTTGTGATAGATTGTTCAGTGGGGTCGGTGGAAAGCCGGCGTGCATTTCCGCAGGATTGTTAGAGCTGGCCATATTGTCGTGCATTGCTGGGATACTATATGGCAGGTATGCTACTAATGTCTGATTACCACTGGTAGCAGTGGCATGGACGTGGTGATTCATTTGCTGGCCGTAGGGACTAGCAAACTGGGCTGGTGATGACATAAGACCAATGGTTGGTTGAGGATGTTGTGGGAGACTCATTGCTGACTCCACTAATGATGATCGTTGAAGTCCCACAATACTACTGCTAACTCCTCTGAAGTCGCCACTGTTGAAAGGTTGTCCAATATGGCTGTGCTGCGGACCAACAAGCTGCGGTTGGTTTGAAAAAGGATGGGTCAAGCTATTGTTGGGATCAGGCTGTACTGGAGTGACACTAGTCCCTGCAGCTTGCAGCACTGTCTGTACCTGTTGATGTGTCCCATCGAATGCTGTGTTACAGAGCAAGGCAGAAATTGACAATGGGCAAAAAAGATATTAATGATAGCAATTGTTAGATACTTGAAAACACTGACTGAAGTGGTCCCGTCCCATAGATGTGTGCTTAGTTTTACAATAGTGAATTGTCCCTCAGCATATCAGTGAGTTTGTATTTGTCCTACATGTGTGAGTCATGATATGCGATGAAGTTGACTACACCACTGCAGCTGTACTTATGGTTGATAAATATGTGTTTACTGTGTTTACCGCCATACTGCCAGGTGTGTCTTTACCACCATATTTATGAACCATAAGTACAGCTGCAGTGGTGTCTTCAACTTCATTCTCCCGAGTCAAGCTCCGTATGAAGACATCCATGAAGAAGATTGCCTGATGAGTCCAGCTGGGACGAAACGTACGTCGCAATCGAGCCATGTCGTTGCTGTGTCATCATCTATGTGCCATGCGCTACTTGATGTACCAGCCTGCTATGCCGGATACCGCCAGCCATGCATCGACCAGGCGCCAGGCGCGAACTGTTGGTGGTGGTGGTGAGAAGGAGAGCTCTGTGCCAGAACTTTGCAGCCTAGAGAGTGTGTGTGGGCAGGCGTGTGTTTACCGCCATATTGCCAGGTGTGTCTTTACCACCATATTTATCAACCATTCTGAAGAAAACGAGGACAAAATATTCATATTATGGACAAGATGCGTTCAGAAATGCCTTTTTGGATGAATTTGGAATGGTTGAGGCGTTTGCTACATTTCCCCATGGATAAACACTATCGCTACGGTTGCTGGGGACACACCCCAGCCATACTATTCCGCATGATTGTGTTTTGATTTGTACCATAAGCATGATAACCGTGAAGCCAGTGAATATTCCAAGGTTGTAATTTTACTGAAATGATCTACACGTTCTGCTTATGTCGAGCATATTTTGGCACATTTTGGCATATCTTTTTGCATATCTTGCTAAGCCTTTGGCATATTATGGACGTTTTCCCTGATATGCGATGAGCATAATATGCTCTTTTTTTTAGCATATTTGGTCGAGGCCTAAGCCAGACCCACCAGGACTCGAACCCGGGCCCTCGCTTGTCATGAGCAATGTTTTTGGCACTTTCATTATCTCTAATACTCTATTCCGAATGAATAATAATATCCTTACAAAGAAGTGAACTAGTATCAAAATGCCGCAACAAAAAAATATGACAGAAAACAAACTTCACAGCTAGCATGACATACTGACATACTAGTAGAACAAGTTAGTAGCCAGTCGCAGCTGCCGCTCCGGGACAGTAGAATTCTGCACTATCAGGACTGGTTTGGCATATGTCAGTGCTAACATTATACTTATCCCTCGCAACACCCACAACGTCTGTGTAATACTTGCCTTCATTTGGGAATCGTGCAGAGTAATGTTTAATCTATTCCCCTCTACTGATCTACTAGTTTATAGTTTAGCCTCCAGCAGCCCCATCTCTATCCTATCCCAGAGATAGTCATGCGTCCAAGTCCATCGTATTAAACTTAACATTGTCAATGAACATCTCAATTGGTTTACTTCCCCACGGCACACCTGCAATGGTATAGTACTTCCCAGAGCTTTGTCAACTACGTTTACCAAATCTCCAATCATTTCTGCAAAATTGGTACTGGCTCAAGTTTCCCATGGAAATGAAGACAATATCCGATATTAGACGTTCAAAGACCATATTATATGTCATGTCAAGTTGTAAGGTCCCTCGCCTCTTTTGCTAGCTTCTCTCGCCATTTTTCACCACAGTCAACATAGTGATCAATTTCACCCCCGTTGATGTGTTATTTTCTTCCGATAATTGTGTTCTTTCTTATTTCTTTTCCTTCTCTTGCCATGGCTGGCTAACACCCCCTCCTTTGCATAAGCTTTTACCATAGGACACATAGGATATTATAAATATTGTGTCAACCTAAGCGCCTAGTGTCCAGCATGAACATATTCATAATAGTTAGTCTCAGGTTTTAGTATCAGTCGTCTGATGACTGCAGTAGGATGAAACTTTGAGTTACGACAAATCCAAACTGGACCTCTTTCCCTTTTTTTTCGTTTAACTAAATCCTTTTGTTGTTCTGTAATTTCCCATTAGTCACGATATGTCACTGATGATTGTGACAAGAAAACCCTTTGAACCCATAATTACTTTGGTTAAATGTTTGTGATATGACCGCACATTTTAAAAACATTGTTCATCGCTACATTATGTACAGAGCACACAAGTACATTATGTACAGAGCACACAAGTACATTATGTACAGAGCACACAAGTACATTATGTACAGAGCACACAAGTACATTATGTACAGAGCACACAAGTACATTATGTACAGAGCACACAAGTACATTATGTACAGAGCACACAAGTACATTATGTACAGAGCACACAAGTACATTATGTACAGAGCACACAAGTACATTATGTACAGAGCACACAAGTACATTATGTACAGAGCACACAAGTACATTATGTACAGAGCACACAAGTACATTATGTACAGAGCACACAAGTACATTATGTACAGAGCACATAAGTACATATGTACAGAGCACACAAGTACATTATGTACAGAGCACACAAGTACATTATGTACAGAGCACACAAGTAGGAAAACATTTGACTTTCATCACTTACCCTGCACAGTATGCGTTGGTCTTTGACCTTGAGAATCCACCGTCGGAATATACGGTGGTATGTACATGTAGTAGAGTGGTTGAGCTCCCATCATCCCTTGGTGGCCTTCTGCTTCTGACGTGCTCGGCGAGGAAGACATTCCGAACCGGCGGCAGTTGGTGACAACTAGGACAGTGAAAACAGCCGATCGAGTCTCTGGAACTAACTTGGCTATACTTTTTCCAAGAGTTCGACCACAATGGTAGCCAAAACAATCGAGGTGACTGGCTTGTCCAGAGAACAGCAGCAAGTTATGGTCCGGGGGATACGGAGAGAGTCAACGCAACGACAAGATAGTGTTCTGATCCACGCCAATACAGGAGCCGAGGGTGACTGCTGGTGTCCTGCAACGGAAAGAAGAATAGGTGACGCACCGTTGTGAAGCGTACTCGTGGCCTATGACTAGACGACAGGTTCCATGGTGTCGTTCCGCCTTCCGGTCCGAATTGCTCCGCGGAAGCTACGTTTGCAGCTAGTGTGTCCTGGGTAAAACGAATGTTCGGGAATCAACAGAATTATCGAAGCGGCATTGTAAGCAGCAATAACAAAAGTTCTAGTCAATGAGCACTACAACTATTAAGATATAGGGTTCAAAGAGTTAGGATTGAAAGATTCAACACTACAATAAAGTGTAGAAATAACACGAATAAAGAAGTCTAGGTGAAGAGTCAAAACAGCGTGAAAACTAAAGGGTGACAAAACGTTTGCAAAATTGCATCAAATCAAGAGATCAAAGAATTTATTTCACACCTTCGCCACCAACACATCCAAACGGCTGTAAAGACAACGTTCTCCTTCACTCTTCAGAACACAAAGTTCAGGATCCAGCGTAGGTCTACGCATGTACAAAGCTTCTTCTAGCACAGCAAGATGCAACATAGACCTACTACGTGACAACGCGGAGAATAAATCGTCAGTCACAACAACTAGCACTGCCCGAAACAATGACACTGGATGCCGGAACGATGGTCGATTTCCTGGAGAAGACCCATTCGTGGTTCACACCTCCGTTGCCTTTGCTCGCGAGTCTTCTTCATTACCATAGTTACGACCCGTACCTTGGGTTTGTCAGTCAAGTATATAGTATGAATAAAACATCTAATGACAGTGATGAGAAAGGTAACAGTCATAGTGGTGTGAATATGTGAGTTATTGAAGTTGAGCAGTGACGTAGGGCACCACCCTTTGCACTACGCGTGACATGCAATAGTCAAGATCTGCCGGTGGTACCATCGGCCAAGTATCTGGGCTTACATTTTGACACGTCAATGAGCTGGCACTAGCCTGGCAGACAATGGTTCAAAATGTTGCTATCAGGGTTTCTGCTAAAATAGCTGTCTTAGTCCGCCATGCTGCATCTTTACCCCTCTCATGTCGTATCTGCTATTACAAATGCTTTGTGCTACCTGAGTTTCTGTATGCATCCAATGCTTATGCCCCATATCTATCTTTTCACCAGGAGCTCCCTCTGGAAAGGCTTTTCAAGCGCTCACTGCGTGCTGTATGTAAAGTCCCCATGGACCCCCCACTGTTACGCTGCTTGAGCGTGTACATGTCTCTCCCTTGCGCGCTACCATTCAACTTAACTTGCTCTGCTTTATATGGCGTAGTCTAAATTCTTCAAGAAGTACTGTACATGTTTGAAACTTTATTTCAACCTCTTTTGTCACGAAGAACTCGAGGAGGCAACATTTGCCTGCTTATCTTCCCTGCAGCTGCTTCTGCACATTCTACCAAATTGGTGACACATGCTGGCGCAGTTCTTTGGAATTCCCTCCATGCGGATATCCGAGGCGTCACCAAACTAGCCGCCTTCAAGTCAAGCGCTTTGCAACACATTCTTGCCTGCTTTTAGCTTTACGCCCATGTTTCTGTAGCTGTGCTGAAACTGCTCTATTTCGACGCCACTATTTACCACTAGCCATGTCTCCCCCCTCCTCCACCCTACACAGTGGGTCCATTGTTCTTAGGCATCTGCCTGTTTTGGTTTCTCCACTAAAAACAAAACAATACTACTACTACTACTACTACTACTACTACGTTTCAGAAATGTGTAAGTGGCTGCGTTGGAGTTTGCGGACAATAAGAAAAATATTCTTCCGTATAGTAAAATGGCAATGAACACTGTCCCCTCGACGATTGTTTAAAAAATTATTATTCTTCAGTAGGACAAAGTGTGTGAAGTCCTTGCTGGAAATAGTGCTCAATACCCTAATAAGGTAGGATGAGGTTTCAGAGCAGACCTCTCTTTCCCATCCACTCTGCAATATCGAACTCTGTTATCAGTCAGTTACTACAACTTTTCGGAAAATTCCCCCCTTAGGTATGCAATGTAGCCCTTTCCCAAAGATGCTCGCCACTTTCTTCCCAACTTTTTGTAGTTTTGGAAGAAATCGCAGCTTTGGCAGCTTTCGCAACATTCTTCATTTTCACAAAATACTTCGCCACTTTTCCGCAACTTTGTGCAGAGAAGGGCCCTGGTAGAGACCAATGAAGTGTGTCCGTGATGCTCCGCTTCAACAAGAATCGCTAAGCATCAAATCATCATGACAAGTGTACTTCACGAAGAACAGTAAGATCGGGCGCCAAAGAACGCATGAGCTCAAGGCACAGCCTAGAATTTTTCAAAATGTTGAACGGCGTTAGTCGTTTTGTTCTTATTCCACGATCATGCACATACAATGCGATTACACCACTTGGAAAACATGCAGAAAATGGTACGTGCATTCTTTCAAAAATCTGCAAATCTAGCCTGAATTTACCCATTTTCCAGCCTAAGTCATGTAAGTCTGATGGTTCTGTGGTATTCAGTTAAAAAAAGTGTTCTTTGCCGAAGTGACTTCTACGCCTGATCTTACTGTACATCAGTGTCTGCTCCAGCGCCGGGTGAGCCGGGTAATCCACCCGGTTGGGCGGCGCTTGGACCTGGTTGAAAATATAGTACCGGGTCACCTGTGACCCGGTTGGTACTTTACACTTTCGAACTTTGATTCAAAGTTTGAAAGGACTGACTACATGGCTTGTACGTGTATGTGGCAGCCCTGAGCATGCCGCTATGTCATGAATGCTGTGCGAAGGTTTAACAATAAGGACAATGACTTATTCCAAGTCTGTTCATTTCCCTATAACTCACGCAGTTGTGCTGTCCCACAGTGTTGTCTGTTTCCGCTCCATTTTTGGTTATTATTGGTGTCATCATGCACCAGAACTCGCTCATTTTGGGTTGCGATATTAGCAAATTTTGAGCTTTTTCTGGAACAAATGGATGCAATTTCAGCAAACTTGCATGCCCACCACAAGCACCAACACCCTAGCAACACCTAAAAACTTGGCGCTGGAACTGGAACCCTGATCACGTCGTCGCACTGAAAGAAGCCCAGGGCTCAATGCAGCTTTTGCCACCAGCTGAGGAATTTCCGCAGTTATCAATGTGAGACGTCCGGTCGCACTGGCGTTACTCGCTTATCAACACAGCACACTTGTACTTCACGAAGAACAGTAAGATCGGGCGCCGAAGAACGCATGAGCTCAAGGCACAGCCTAGAATTTTTCTAAAATATTGAACGGCGTTAGTCGTTTTGTTCTTATTCCATTGTGCGAAGGTTTAACAATAAGTACAATGACTTATTCCAAGTCTTTTCATTTCCCTTTAGCCCCATCCCTCACACAAACAAGTCAACAAAGAGGCATCCTTGGATTGAGGAGTGCTGGTTTCGAAACAACTGGTTTGAAGCTCAAAGTAGAGCTGGTGTTAGCTCAGAGCAGACCTGCTGTTAGCTCAGAGCAGAGCTGCTGTTAGCTCAAAGTAGAGCTGCTGTTAGCTCAAAGTAGAGCTGCGGTTAGCTCAAAGTAGAGCTGCGGTTAGCTCAAAGTAGAGCTGCTGTTAGCTCAAAGTAGAGCTGCGATTAGCTCAAAGTAGAGCTGCGATTAGCTCAAAGTAGAGCTGCTGTTAGCTCAAAGTAGAGCTGCTGTTAGCTCAAGGTAGAGCTGCTGTTATCTCAAAGTAGAGCTGCTGTTAGCTGAAAGTAGAGCTGCTGTTAGCTGAAAGTAGAGCTGCGGTTAGCTCAAAGTAGAGCTGCGGTTAGCTCAAAGTAGAGCTGCTGTTAGCTCAAAGTAGAGCTGCTGTTAGCTCAAAGTAGAGCTGCGGTTAGCTCAAAGTAGAGCTGCTGTTAGCTCAAAGTAGAGCTGCTGTTAGCTCAACGTAGAGCTGCAATGCTAAATGGATGTAATATATAGCGCAAGGCAGAGCCGCAGCAAATAGCTAGATAACACCAGTTGTGAGAGTGGACCCGATTAGTGGGTACGATAATTATGATGGTGTGAATAAGTTGGATAGGGAGGGATGGTGGGGAAAGAAACACTGCTGAAGCGCGATCCGTTGTCTGGAAGAGCACAACAGGGCAAGCAAGATTTGTTTTCTTTTCCGCAAAATGGGCTGGTGCCATTTGTGATTACGCAGCAAAACACAGCGCATGACGTCAGTCTTGAATGCAGTACAAAGCAATGCAGTGCAGTGTGTGCGCTAGTTCGGATTGTTGCTAACAAGTACTAGCACAGCTAGTACACCAATAACGCAGGTAGTTGTGCTGTGCCACAGTGTTGTCTATTTCCGCTCCATTTTTGGTTATTATTGGTGTCATTATGCACGAGAAGTCGCTCATTTTAAGCTGCGATATTAGCAACTTTTGAGCTTTTTCTGAAAATAGGGATGCAATTTCAGTAACCTTGCATACCCACCACAAGCACCAGCAACCCAGCAACACGTCGAAACTTGGCCCTGGAACTGGAACCCTGATCACGTCGTCGCACTGAAAGAAGCCCAGTGCTCAATGCAGCTTTTGCCACCAGCTGAGGAATTTCCGCAGTTATCAATGTGAGACGTCCGGTCGCCCTGGCGGTACTCGCTTATCAACACAGCACACTTGTACTGTGCTTACTTCGCACCACGACGTACACACCAGTCTCGCCCAGATCGGCGACCATGGATAGGCACAGGCGGATTATGCTGGCATAATTATTGGCATAATTAAATTTTTTGTGGTTGAAATTTTGAAGCATAGTTAAACATCCTTTCGGAGGTAGGAGCATGACAACATGATTGTAGTTGTAAACTACTAAATCTCCAGACACCTAGCTTTTTCCACCATCTTGTAATTATAACTACAAATGGAACATGCATACATGATGTACTCTAGTACTGGAATATGCAAGGCATAGTACCACTACCTTTCTGTCTCGTGCTTTATCAGTCTAGCCAAGAATGACTTCAAAAGAAGCGTCTCTAGTTACCTTCTAACGATTTTGCCGGCGAATACGTCATTATCGAGTATTGTTTTCTGTGCTGTGTTTGCACATGTGTACTTCAAGTACTCCAACACAAATTACCATTCGAATAAGAGGAAGACACCATCTCATTATTTTGAAAACAGATACGATAATTATGAGTGTTGAAGACTCAGCGCATAAGACAAGACTTCCTTCAGCAGTTGTAGAATCTGTTAGGCCAGCATTAGTATTGACACATTTCTGCGGGATGAGCAGATCAGCCGAAAAAGTGAACTAAAAAGAAACGGTTACTAATTGGAGGGGAAATACCCGATCCTGACAGTGAGTGGGTAGAAACAAGACTGAAGGCAGTGCGGATTAGGATGTTGAGCTGCAATTCTACTGACGCTATAATACATGTGGCCAGCATCATGGGTAATGTTAGCGAAGACAACATGCGGAAAATGAAATTGACGAGACATTTGAAAAAGGAACTTCTACAAATGTGTCAGTCGTCTGATTGACTATTTCCACAGCTTAAAAAGCAACATCCCAGCTCCATCTCTAATGAAATAACCTTAAAAATCATTCGGTGTTGGACAGCGTTGATACGATAATTCAATATCATAAAAGCTATGCACAGCGAGTATTAAGTTTGCAGCTGTACACTTCATACCTCTTTTTTTGAATAAGATATAATAAAAAAAATCGTCAACTCCGTAAAACTAAGGAGCTAGCTAGATCTTGATAATAATAACAAAATCGTTTGGTTGAAAGTGATGATGAGCCTTAAAGACCTTATGGACAGTTTTTAACACATCCATTCACGAAGCTGGCTGCAGTGCCATTTTTAAAAGGCTGTTGCTCAGCTCATGAGAACAGTGTTTTCAAGCCGTCTAAGGTGTGTTTGCTTATTATTGCCTTTTTGGGAGGTGTCTTGGTGCTGAAAGAGAGTGAGCGTCATGGGAGGGTAGTACAGGGTGCAGCAATTGTCCTGCATGAAATTAATAGTGTTGGCTGAGCAGTTGTCGAATGCTGTGCAAAATGCTGCTGCAGCGGCATCGGCGATGGGAGAGAGTGCTGCTGTTGCTGATGCTGAGGCAAGGGTTCCTGTACTCGTTCCTGTTGTGATGTAGACTGCTGCTGTGCCTGATGGTTGTGCGTCTGAGACACAGGTGATGACTGGTGCTGCGGTGTGTGAGCCACCAGCGATAGCTGTTGCTGCTGTGTGTGTGTGGGCGTCGGCAGCTGATGGTGGTGAGTTGGATAGATTTGCGACTGCTGACATGGGTCATGTGATTCCTACTGCTGCTGATGCTGATGCTGATGCTGATGATGCTGATGATGCTGATGATGATCCTGCTTCTGGAGCTGCTGATCTGGATGTTGATGATGAGGCTGTTGCTGCAACTGCTGACGCGCTGCCGGGTATTGGAAGTGAGTATGTTGCTGCTGAACAAGCTGTCTGTTTTGAGTTAGTTCTGGCACAGCTGCTGGCACAGCTGCTGCTTCTGGCTGTGGTGGTGGCGGCGGCTGTGGGGATGTCTGTATGGAACATGTAGACAAGAGATCATTAATTTTCTTGTTGCTCTACTGCCTAGGCTTGCCACTACTAGGTCACCCTTTCCGGCATTGTCATGGCATACTTCACTGAACACGGCATAGCTAGCAGACGGCTGTCCAGGTGGTGTTGGCAGTGCACTGTTGACCAGATCACTACTAGCAGTTGCCTGGGCAGAGGGCAAATGATAAGGTAACTGAGGCAGAGATGACGTGGATGTTGAATTCACAGTCCGCATGCTTGAGGACGTTCCCAGTGGTAAGTGTTGCGGCTGTGCAGGCTGACACTGGTCCATGCAAGTCACAAGTGAAAAACCGTGTTTTTGATGTTGGTGCTGCTGCTGCTGCTGCTGTTCTTCCTGTTAATGTCGGTGATGGTGCTGAACTGCAAGTACCTCATCGGATGAAATCGAACTGCCATGATCACTTTCTCCGTCCCCAGCAATAGCACCATCCGCAGACGGCAAGCCACTGTTCTCTGCGCTGGTGTTCGTGGTACTGTCGGAACGAGCACTACCGCCATTGGCTGCATTTCGAGCATCATGCTTCTTGGAGTGCTTTCTAAGCGAGCTCGGGTGTGTATATCTCTTCGTACATCCTGCTGCCCTGCATTGGTAGGGTTTATCATTCGTGTGCACGACCATGTGCTTCTTTCGATCCGAAGAATTTGAAAATCTTTTCTTACAGTCCGGGAAGGTGCAGGGAAACGGCTTTTCCTTTGTGTGGACTCTGTAGTGCATCTTCAGGTTTGCGGATTTTGCGAATGCTTTGCGTGTGCAGTCATGATGATTGCAGACAAAGGGTTTTTCACCTGTATGAACTCGTATATGGTTGGCAAGCCTATATTTGGCTTTGAATCCTTTGGTGCGTGTACACTGGTCCCAGTGGCAGATGTGGACGTTGCCATCCTCCTGTGTGGGATGTTCACTATTGTCCTGTTGCTGGAGATGAACGTTGCTTATGTGCTGCGCTAGTTCGGTGTTACTATAGAAATCCAAACCACACAATTGTGGACCGTTGTTCACACGCCATTTGCACAGACTTCTGGGATGTCCGCCAAACACTGGAGAGGCAGAGGGGTTGTCCGATTGATACTCGCCGCCTTGTTCCAGATGGTTCACTGGGGTCTTTGGACGGCCGGCATGCATTTCCGCAGGATGGTTAGAGCTAGCCATCGTGTCAAGCAGTTCTGGGACACTGTTCCGTGATGTCATAGTACTAATGGTTGGCTGCGGATGTGGTGGGATACCCACTGGTGACTCTGGTATTGATGGAGGGGCAGTGGGTTTGTCGGATTGATACTCCATGCCTTCTGCTAGGTGGTTCAGTGTGGTCTGTGGAAAGCTGGTGTGCATTTCCACAGGATTGTTAGAGCTGGCCATACTGCCGTGCATTGCTGGGATACTATATGGCAGGTATGCTGCTAATGTCTGATTACCACTGGTAGCAGTGGCATGGACGTGGTGATTCATTTGCTGGCCGTAGGGACTCGCAAATTGGGCTGGTGATGACATAAGACCAATGGTTGGTTGAGGATGTGGTGGGAGACTCATTGCTGACTCCAATATTGATGATCTTTGAAGTCCCTCAATACTACTGCTAATCCCTCTTAAGCCACCAGTGCTGACCGGTTGTCCAATATGGCTGTGCTGCTGACCAACAGGCTGCGGTTGGTTTGCAATAGGCTGTGTCAAGCTAATGTTGGAATCAGGCTGTACTGGACCGACATATGTCCCTGCAGCTTGCAGCTCTGTCTGCACCTGTTGATGTGTCCCATCGAATGCTGTGTTTCAGAACAAAGCAGAAATTGACAATGTGCAAATAAGATATTAAAGATAGCAATTGTTGGATACTTGAAAACACTGACTGAAGTGGTCCCGTCCCATAGATGTGTGCTTAGTTTTACAATAGTGAATTGTCCCTCAGCATATCAGTGAATATGTATTTGTCCAACATGTGCGAGTCATGATATGCGACTTGAATTTTGGAGTTTTAGCGGCCATTAGGCCATGGGGCCAAGGTTGCGGAAAGGACACGAAGTAGGTTGCAAAAATGAGTGAACTTGCGGAAGATACTATTTCTTCCAAAACAACCAAAAATTGAGAAAAAGTGGCGAGCGTGTTTAGGAATGGGCTAGTACACACACATACGCACACACACACACACACATACACATACACACACACGTACACACACACGTACACACACGCGTACACACAGACGCACACACATAATTGTACAACTTGTAAACACACACACACCAAACACTTTTTTTCCTTTTCTTTTTTAACAAGTACACAACCTACTTGTCAGAAGGGGAGAAGACAACAGAATATACAATATCAAAACAGCCACATAGACACACACAGATTCACACGCATAATTGTACTTCGTCACTGCTATAACTGGTCAAGTGGGTTTCCCCTTGGGAGAAAGGAGAGAGACTCAAAAGGAATCTTGGAAAGATGACTCAATTGGCTACTGAACCGCCAAACGGCCAAAACCCCCTGAAATCCCCATAATCTGGGTGGACTTGGAAATGGTCCCACTTATGGGCTCACCACACCTCAGTTAGGCCGCGGTCACACCGAGCTCGATTCAGCCGTTCAGCCGAAACAAGCGCTTGTTTACGTCACTATTACCATGGAAGTGGCTGAAAAATGTCCTACAAGCGACTTTCAGCCGTGGCTGACTCTCAGCCGGTTTTTTCCGGCTTGTTTCAGCCACAGCTTGTACAAGCGGCTGAAAGCCGAAATTCAAAAAATAATTTGAGTGCGCGCTTGGAGCTCCGGAGCACACCATGTAACTAGTTGACATGATGAACTGATATTGATGTTCTTTCTTGTGTCCGTGGAACCGTGCTATCCCTGTGCCTTTGGTTTTGACCGTGAGTCTGTCTACCCCAACTACACTGTATTCAGTTTGATTTGGATTTTGTCCGACGACCATGGATTTCTGCCGCTGTGCCTCTAGACTGCTGCGTAGATTGTTGGAGCTGTGGTTTGAGGCCAAGACAAGGCACCACACTCACGACCGAATTCATGAAGAAAGCCGGGTACGAAGAAGAGAGTGGATTGCAACTGAGTTCAATAATGGCAACCGGCGGGGCAGAAAGCTCGACATCAGGAAACACCACCCGAACCATCGCGTCCATGCACACCGAACAAATAAAAAGAGCACGACTTCGCAATTCAGAATCCGGGCTTCCTTTGCTTCTTCATCAAAACTGAACACTAGAACAAGTACAGTTTTAGATCGCGAACGTTCTGCTCTCCAGTTTCTTGCAAACATTGGTGTGTTTCGAGATATTCAAAATTTGGCGGGTAAGAAAAACAAGCCATTCAAGCTTTGCACTCAAGGTCTGGTGTGACCGCGTCACAGGGATCACGCAAGCCAGCTGAGCGCCAGCGATAACAAGCCCAAAGTGGCTTGTTTCGGTGTGACCGGGGCCTTAGTGGGTGAGGACAAGGAAAGAATTGACGGCATTAGGGTATCCGTCCCGGGATCCAACTGCAGTTATCCCTGCCCCAGTGAAAGTAATACTGTAGCGTTGGCACGCTGGTAACTTCAAAGCGTATAGCGTTTAGTGTTTAGAGTATAGCATATCCCGTACTGTATCCCCGTACATTAGCGTACGGAGTCTGCCTTTGTATCAAAGCTGCTGCTCACGATTCTTTTATAGCCAGTTAGTTAATTTAGTTGCCAGTCAGTTAATTCCATAATCAGTTAATTTCGTTTCCAGTACATTTCAATTGCCAGTTACAGTGTGTTCACTGAGACCCTTGTATTTTTGCCTCCGAGAGACTGCGGCCCGCTACAAATTGGTGGCAGCGGTAAATTCATTTTGCTTCATTCTATAACTAACTTTGTTACTTTTCACGTTTCTCAGACCCCCATGGCTCAACCTGCTGCAGCTCCGTGCCACGAATCAAGATGAGAATCATGTTTCTTGCCTTCCTGGGCTTGGCCCTGCTTATTAGCCTGCAGCACAGTCAGGGTGCTAGCGTGGATCACCCTTCTCTCCGCACGGCACTCACTGGAGACTCCGATGGCGATTCCAAGCGACCCGCTACCTACATGTATACTACCGGTGTTGATAGCGAAGCTGATGAGGACGACGACATGCAGGCTGCTGACCAAGACAAGGAGGGTATTCCCCAAGACCAGCAGCGTTTGATTTTCGCCGGCACGCAGTTGGCAGACGGCCGAACCCTGATTGACTACAACGTTCAGCAGGAGTCCACTATTCACTTGGTACTTCGTCTCCGTGGTTGGATGCAGATTTTCGTCAACACTCTTCCTGGCTAGACCATCACTCTTTACGTCGCGCAAAGCGATGCTATCGACAATGTGAAGACCATGATTCAAGATTTTTACGACTCCATACCTGTATTATATTATGCAAGTCATCCATTCTGCCTATCTCTTATCGTCGAGTTTATTCCGACGCGACCATGCATGCCGCCAGTTTTTTTCTAAATAGCAGCCAGTTGTATTTTTGCCTCCGAGAGACTGCGGCCCTCTACAATACTTGCTACTAGTGTGGATGGCTAAATCAGAGTGGATCTGATAAAAGCTCAAACTAGCACCATTGCCTACACAAGAGTTTGACTAGCCAGATGTAATTCATGGTTAAAATAGGTTTATGAACCCTGAAACCAACAAAGGTGGCAGGTACAACAATACACCTTCAAGCAGCCGAGCCTGTTGGCAACAGACCAAGCACTATCTGGCCTAAGTGTACCAACCAACGGAAGTAGCTGGCACACACACCCATACACACCCATACACACCTGTCCTGTCCTGTCAAGCCACTGCCACAAAGGCCACGTGGGCCCCAGACGGGCAACGGAGAGAGAATATGAGAACGTCGTCATACCAAGGTCCGGGACACAAACAACGAGGAGGAAGTCGCCAGGATTCAGGTCATCTAAGACTGTTACCACGGGACCGACTTGTGATCTAGGGAGAACCTGAGTAGCGGTGTCTATTCCTGCCCTAGACTCAATGGAAGCAACGGCCGCAGGACACAGTTTGCACCACAACACGGCTCCCCTGTGCCTGGGGACTGAGTCACACACTTGTGACGGGCAAGGCTCAAGAACCAACGGCCGCAGCGATCACACTGACATGCTCTGCGCTGTTCATTCACTGGCTTCGCACACTCTGCAGTGCACTTGTGCCTGGTATGATCCTGGGGGTGCGAGAAAGTCCTCTTGCACAGAGAGCAGTTGACAGCAGCAGCCGCACCCTTAAGGTGGCAGACTACCCAAAAATTCGCTGAAAAATCGAATTTGGAAATTCATATTGAGTGCTACGTCAGTTGAAAGATCATGAATAGCTGCAAATTTTCTGAAAATTGTGTCCCGATCTGACCAGCCGTTCAAGAGTTATGGCCGAAAACGTGCCCTTGCAAGGAAAGATTTTTTAGTTGCACGCTGTCATTTTTTGGCAGCACTGTAATTGAATGTGAGCAGACCGTGCGCAACTTGTCGTATGATGGAAATACGCGAAAGTGTGCAGAATTTTGTTCCAAGCTTCGCCCGCCGCCGTGCAGCAGGACTTCTGCCAGCACCCTCGTGACGTTGCAGATATGTGGCTTGATTATTGTAGTTGACGTTGATTTAGTGACTTTGGCAAGTTTGAGTCGTGTCAAGAAGTCAGGTAGGACTCAGTACTAGGCAGTAGTGAAACGTGAGTGGTAGTCTTTGCCGGTTTCTGAGGGTATCCTGGATTTGGTTTGCAGCGCTGTGGAAATGGCTTGCTGTGGAGGTCCCAGCACTGGATGTTGTATCAAAGGTACGACCTCGTAGCACGAGTGTGTGGTCAAAGTTTCATTCAAATCCATTGAGAAACACCAAAGTTACGGTCAATTGAATGCCATATGATATTTATGGGTAGGCTGCCCCCTTAAAGGGGAAGTATACCCTAAAATCAAATTTTCACCAGTTGTAGTCTTCGGGGTGCCGAGTCGAATGGTCTTGGTCCGAGGAAGCTGAGCAAAATGTCACTAAAAGCGCCACTTCGTTCTTATAAAAGTGTAATGGGTAGCCGAGTGGTAGGCGCGGTGCAATTAACAAGAATTACTTTTATTCTACTTTCAGGTACACACCTGAGATATAATTATTAGTGAAAGAAGAAGCGGCAAAATAACTGACTTTCTCTCCGGTGCACACCGAGGTTGAATATCTCGTTATTATCAAAATCTCATCTTCATCAAAACAGAAATGCGCAGCCGCTTTTATGCTGCAGACGCCGTACGCTTACATACGGAGATACACTAACTATACATCAGGCAAAGCTCCGTATTAGTTCCGTACTGCTTCCGTATTGGTCGGGCAGGGATACTACACCCTCCCTTCCTACAGATAATCACGCCCTCGTGATTTTCAAAAAATTAGTGAGGAGTTACGAACAACAGCGTCAACCGGAAGATGGCAAATTATATCGGAAATGATAACGTTTAGAGTAGACAGAAGAAATGAACTGATAACAAATCATAAAATAGAAGTAAAAGCACACCAGGTTCACACGATCTCACGGGGTTAAAAGGGGAAAGAAATGTCCTCCAAATAGGACCTGAAACCACAGCACTCTTGCTGCACAACGCTGGCACAACCCGCCAGGAACATCGGAGTTCAAAAACCGAACTGAATACACTATAACTACTTCCTCCGTTCATAAAAACTTCGTGATGGAATTTTGAGGGGCTGATTTGGGAACAAACTGCCGTGAAATGAGTCGCAATCACTTTCTTGGCCTTCCCTGGAATGCTATGACAGA